TATACAAAATAACATATATTAAATATTTTATATAATATATAAAAAGCATATACATATAAATGCATAAAAAAGATTTCAAGATTTCATGCTGATATTAGATCAGTTATTAACTATGGCCATAACAGAAAATGTGTCTGTCTCACATGATTTCCTGGTTCTCACTATGGAGGAAAGTGTATACACTGGTTCTCCTTGGTATGTGTACATGTATAGGTACATATATGTGCAGGTTGAGTATTAGACAACAAAAATAATCTGAATCCATAAACTAAGATTTCACTCCATTTTTAATCTGTTCATATTCACTGATTTAAAAAAAAAAAAAAGAAAAAGAAAGTTTGAAAACAAGTGTTCTGGAGTTTCAGGAGTCTGTCAATACCTGAGATATTTGACTTTGGATTTACACATCTGAGCTAAGCTCTGATGTGAGTCATAAGCCTTAACCCGGGTTGTCAGGACTTTCTGCAATTCCTTCATTCTTTGCTTCTGCTTAGTTAGGATCCGAGTTCTCTCTTCTTCCAACATTTTCTTTTCTTCAAGGGTTCTCCTGAAGGCAACAAACTAAGGCTTAATTCAATGTTAAGCCAAAGAGAACGCCTGGTTAGCAAAGACTTAACATGAAATTATTCAAAGGATGGAAAAAAGGCAACATTTTGACAAAAATATGACAAGAAATTGGAAGCCTAATTAAGGCTGACGGCAACCTTTTCTATCCCCCAAAAAACATAAAATAGAAAACACACTACTTTCTTAGAATATTCTTAGCAAAATACTGTACTATATAATATATATATTTATATATAATATAGTAATATATCTTACAGATAAAATAATAATTTAATATTTTCAAGTTTACCAACATAAAACCAACAGAGCTGCACATAGTACTTATCAAGCATGAGTCAGTGTTCGCTCCTAGTTCCTTACTTACCTTATGGCTCGTTCGCGTCCTCGGGAACAGGCGGTAGGCATCGGAGGCACGTAGTGACAAGGCCTGGGCTTTGCACAAGCACTTCCTACGGGTGATTTCCGCCTTGGAGAGAGGTAAGGCCAGCGTGTTTCTTTCAAGTTTTCTTCATCGGCTCTAATGTCTGCCAAGATTTTCTGTCTTTTAGCAGATTCACTGGAGGATTCATGAAGACAAAATGGTTTATAGACTGTTGAGTGTTTCAAAAAGCTGTGTTCTGAGAAGGGCTCCTTCCATTTCTCAGGGAGGTCTTCATCACCAGAACTCTGGCACCTGCACTTGTGTTTACACCTCAACTTTGCAGTCTGTCCAGGACCTCTGGGCTTCCTAAAATGTCTGTGTGCTGGCCTACAGGGCAGAGACAAATTGTGTAAGAGTTCTTGGGCTTTCAGTGGCATCCTAATGTTTCTATAGAGCTCCTCCTCTTCTAACTTGTCCCTGGTAGGTGACCCGTAAATAGACTGAGGTAGAGGTCTGGCTCTAAATCGCTTTGTTTTCTTTTTGGCCTTAAAAAAATCTCTAAGCTGCTTTTCTCGGGCTGCTTGCTTCTGTTCCTCCCTCTCTATAAATGAAAATGGCCTCTGGGAAGCCAAAAGAATTTCCCTGTTCTTCTCTTTGGTGGCCCTCCTCCGCTCCTCGTCCTTTTTAAGCATGTCTTGGTACAGTGGCAGGAAGATGTGCGTGGGAACCGGGTTGGCTCGGAACTTCTTACACTCCAAGTCGTCTTCTTCCTTCCTCAGCAGCCTCTGCACCACTTCCATCTCTGACCTAGCTCTCGTGGCCGCTTCTTTTTTCTTCTGTTCTCTGACCATCATTTGGAAGGGCACAGGTATTGTAACGGTGGGCGTCCACTTTTTTGGTTTCTTACCTGTGTTTTCAACTGTGTGGAAGTCAGGATCCTCAGGCTGAATATAATCTTCAACACAGAAGTTGGTCCACATGTTGCTGATGAGCTCCCTGGCATAGCTCATCATCCCGTCTCTCCCAGGACGCTCTTTCTCCAGGCTGGGCAGGTCCTCTTCAGAAGTAAGCAAGGAGGAAGATCGGCCCAGGTGAGGCTCTGAAACCGATGTCACTAACAAGACAGGTTGATAGGGATTCTTTTCTGATGTGGAGCTAAGGAAGAATAATAATTAGGTATACCTTCAATTGTATGTGGCCAAATATAAAAATTAAGGTAATTATACATTTTCTAAGATGAAGGTATATGTGGCTGAGAAGAGAGGAACTGGGTAGGGACTGTGAAAATCATCACTATTATTTAGAACAGAGCTGAGGGAGGACTATAAATTATCTAATTTACTCTCACTTTTCAGGGAAGGAACCTGATGGCAGAGGCTCCTTGTGTCCATTAAATTCCCTCTATGCAAGCTGGACGTGGAGACATATTCCTTTAATCCCAGCACTCAGAGGCACGTGGAACTCTGTGACATCAAAGCCAGTCTGGTCTATATAGTGAGTTCCAGTCTTGGGCTACCCAGGTTCAAAATTCCCTTTTTGCTTTCCAGAGGCACCATCTTAAATCACATCAGTCTCCTGTTTGAAACTTGTCAAAGATCCTCTGTGCTGCAGTGTAGATGACCAATCCCTTGAGGACTGGTCCCTGCTTGCCTCTGCAGTCTTACTTCTCATGACTGCCTACCCCAGTTACCATTCTTAAGTCCTATGGAGTCACATGAAATTCCTCCCACAGACCATGATCTCTTGAGCCACCGTGCCTTTGCAAACATAGTCGCTGGTTCCCAGAAGGCCACTCCTTGCTTCCTATATCTGCTGTACCTTTATTCCTCCTCCAAGTTTGAACTTATCTGGGCATGGTGGTGCATGCTTTTGGAGGCCAAGACAGAAGGACAGAGAGCTCAAGACCAGCCTCAGCAAAGAGTGAGACCCTGTCTAAAAACAACAACCTGGGGAGATAGATAGCTTGGTGGTAGAGTACTGTCAGCCTAGCATTTGCTAAGGGTTTGATTCCCAGCATACCAGAAAAAAAAAAAAAAAAAGGATTGAACTCAAATATGACACTTTGGTTGAAAATACTTTCCTGTATCCCACCAGCACCCTGGCATGATCAACTGCCTTTTCTATTTCTGAGACATTCCGTTATATCATATTCTGTAGCTTTTGGGTCTCAGCTAGTTGTTCAACCTCCTAGAGAGTATCCTGGTCAGGACTCTGCAGTACTTAGACAAGGCCCAGCACACGGGAGATGCATGATTAACTGACTAACTGGATGAGTTTAAAGCTCAATCTCCAGTTTCTTTGCTTGTTTTTTTTTTTTTTTTTTTTTTTTTTTGAGACAGGGTCTCCCTGTAGCCCCAGCTGGCCTGGAACTCAATATGTAGACCAGGCTGGCCTTGAACTACAGAGATCCGCCTACCTCTGGCTCCCGAGTGCTGGGATTAAAGGCGGGCACCACCACGCCCAGCTTCAATCTCCAGTTTCAAAGCAAGCAAGTTCATAGTAGAAACGAGCCTTGAAATTACAGACTACTTTGCAAACGGAAACCAAATCCAGGTTTCCTAGGTGCAGTATCTTCACTGAGCTCATGCAAACCCAGATTTAAAATTGAACTTTAATATTCATCATTTAAAATGGCCTAGCCTCAGGGCTGGAGAGATGGCTCAGCAGCTAAGAGCGCTGGCGGCTCTTGCAGAGAACCCAGGTTTGGTTCCCAGAACCCACTAACAACCGTCTGTAACTCCAGTTCTCCAGGGGACTCAATGCCTTCTTCTGACCTCTATGCACTCTGCACGACATGGGTGCACTTACACATATGGCATTACACTCATACACATTAAAAAAATATATATTTTAAACCCAGCAGTCAGGAGGCAGAGGCAGGTGGATCTTTCTGAGATCGAGGCCAGCCTGGTATAAATAGGGAGTTCTAGGCCAGCAGGGGCTACAGGAAGACCCTATCTAAGAAAAAAGAACTTTGAAGAGTATTTAGAAGGAAATAATTTATTCTACACTCAGCCTGAGCACTCATTTAAGATCACAGCCCATGAGGACAATGAGTACACACTCACCCAGAGGAGATACTAGAAGAATCCTCTCTGGTGACCACTGACTCAGCTTCTTTTAAATTTAACTTATCCCGGCACATCTTCTCCAATTTTGCCATGGCTTCTATATGGGCAGCCTTCAGCTCTTTTAGTTTCCTGAAATACTCTTCATTAGAGTGATGAACATCAGAAAAGTTCATGGCATTCTTACAGGTTACACGTCCGTCCTTCCCAGAAAAGCTGGCGTTATAATCGGTCTGATGGGGACAAAAAAACTATTACGTGGTGTCTGGAATTAAATAACAAATTAAATCGACACTGATCCAAATGCTGAGTTTTAAAGGGTCTGCCTGTTAGAAGTTACTTATGGGTTATATACATTTTCTTCTATGATATTTTAAAAACAAGAGATTAAAACAAAACTGCCAGAAAATATAATTTAATCCATGTTATAATGGATAGTTAGATTCCTATATAACCAACAAAAATATTTAACTCACTACATTCATATTATAGTAGGCAGAAGCAAACCACGTGTCACAAGGGCTTTCTGTAAGAAGCACCTTCTGCGCTCTTAAGTTTTAGCTGAGAGAAAAGGGCGCAGTTCCTTCCCTTGCCCAGAGCCATGGCTTAAGTTCCCCAAGTGAGAGGACAGGAGACGAGGCCAGGGACAATGCTCTTCAAGGAGCCAAGTTGGGATGAGATCTTGGAGGGGGAATAAGAGGGCACAGGAGAGGGCAGAGAGACTTTCTGAAGAGTCATTCCTACGGAGACTTTGGGCACAAGAACAGAACAAGAAAGAATAAATGGCTGTAGATGTTCCACACATGTCTAGTAAAGAGACACTGCTGGACGTGGTGGCACACACCTTTAATCCCAGTACTCTGGAGACTGAGGCAGGCAGATCTCTGTAAGTTTGAGGCCAGCCTGGTCTATATAGCAAGTTCAGGTCAGCTGGGGCTACAGGAAGACCCTGTCTCAAAGAAACAAAGCCAAAGTGGAGGGGACTGAGGAGAAAACCAGAGGTTGACCTCTTGCCTCTATATGCACACATATGCATGTGCACCTGAACACACAAACAAGTACACATACACACATAGTACTCACCTCCCCTATGATACTATAAAGAGCTGACAATTATGATTTTAATGTTTTATTATTTTTATTGTGTGTGTATGAGTGTTTTGCCTGCATGTATATAAACGTACCATGTGCATGTAGGGCCTGTAGAGGCCAAAAAAGGGAGTCATATCCCTTGGAACTGGAATTGAGTTGTTAGCCACCATGTGGGTGCTAGGAACCCAACCGAGGTCCTCTGCAAGAGCAGCCAGTGCTCTTAGAAGCTGAGCCATCTCTCCAGCCCCTCCCCCCAACTATGGTTTTAAATCTAGCCTATAACCTAGAACAGACTCAAAATGAAAAAAGTGTATTTGAACTAGATCCCTATTCATACTTCAGAAAATAAGCCTGTTTAGCCTTCCAATGGGAAAATTCAGGAGAGTCCATTATAAACAACAGTTTAAGTGGGGGAAGTGCCTTACCTGTAGAGTGCTTGCCTAGCTCATGGAGGATAACCCATACAAGGATATGGGTTCAATTCCTAGCACAACAGGGAAGGGGATGGATGGATGGACAGACAGATGCATAGATATGGGGCTTTTTAATTATGTTTTATTTCTTTAAATAAATTTCTATTGAATTTTTATGTATTTTATACAGAAAATCATCTTTATATCCCCTTCCCCCTTGGCACTTCCTATATCCCACCCTCCCATGCTGAAGTTCATACATTCTGTCATTTGTGTTAAGGACTATCATGTAAAATTAGTGTCCCCAGATGTCCCTCAGTACAAGTTCAACCACCGGGATCTAGTCAGTCTACCTAGAGTCCCTCCCTTTAAGAAGATCAGTTCTTCTTCACTCAGCAGTAATCAGCTGTCAATAATACTTCGACTAAGATTGAGACCTGCTACTCATTTCCATAGTTCTGTGCTGGGGTTTTGTCTGCTTGAGTTTGCATGTGTTTTGTGCATGCCGACGCCATTGCTATAAGTTCATATGAGAAGTGTCCCAGGAACCTGTAGGACTATTTCCATATGGTCCTGCACCTCCTCCCTGGCTCTTACAATCTTTTCACCCCCTCTTCCAAAATGGTACCTGAGCCCTGCGTAGGTGGATTTTGACACAGGAGTCCTGTCCAAGGACCCACACTCTGCACTCTTATTCTCTGCATTTTGGCCATTTGTGTGACCTTTTGCTTTCCTGGCCCTCTGTTGCATGAAGGAGCTTCACTGATGAGAACTGAAAGATGCATCAGTGTTCTCTTCATCCCTTGTCTTATATTCCTGTGAACCTCAGGTGTAGAGGTTGCATCCTAGATGTGCCACTTTGACGAGGGCAGTTCACAGACAATCTCTGCGCATGACCAGTTGTGGAACTCTAATTATCTTTGTCTCTTGAAAAAGAAGCTTCTTTGATGGGTGGTGACTAGGATACCTATCTATAAATTTAAGAATCCATATTTTGTACATAGTATGAAATAACATTTGTCTAGGGATGTGACAGCCTTGGAGTTTTCTCTAAGATCTCTGACCTCTCCAGCTATGTGTTTTTGGCTAGGTTTACAGTACCACATATGAGTTTCCTTTCACTGAGTGGGTTTTAAGTTCAATTAGGTAGCTGCTGATGACCCCCAAGACAAAAGTGCCACTACTGTACTGTGGAAGACAGGCTTGAGCCTAGGGTGAGTCTTATTGACATCCATACAGCAGGCCTGGAGTCACAAGGAACGCCTTGTGACATTTTGCTCCCATTGGCAGATCATGAGACTGATGCCTAGAGTTCAACACTCCCTAATCACCACCCTTGGAATCCAAATTTGCAACACTTAGATATTGCAACAGTCAGGGTCACGGGGTTTCCAGGAATCCAGGCTCTGTAATCTGAAACCCAGTATGCTAATGAGGCATCCTACCCGCTATTCTGTGATAGGACGTTAAATCTGTTATGCTAATAGGACACTGTTTGTTATGCTAATAAGGTATCCTACTTGCTGTGCTGTGATTGGACCACTACCCCTATATAAGCTTGTGCCTTCTTGCAATAAAGCAGACCTGTGTCACTGAGCCTGGTCTCCTCAGTCTGAATGAGGCAACGCTGGCGCAGACTCCTCACCAGCCCTGGGGTCCAGACCGGACAACTGATCGGAGGAACTAAGAGAGCAGGAGAGCGGCCATAGCCAGAGGAGAGCTGCCACAGCCAGCAACCACACTGTACCAATGTCACTTGCTGTGCTGGTCATTGATGTGGTTTTTTAGGCCTTGAGGCTGGGGTTGGACCATGGATTGATATTCTCCCTTAGCAGCTTGCATAGTGCTCTCCAAAGCTATAAGAGCTAGCCTTCAGGGGAGGTGGCTTCCAGGTCAGTTCCAGCTCTATTGCATTGGATCTCCGAGAGATGGAGTAACAGGCTGTTGTGAGCCACTTAATGTGGGTTTTGGGAATCAATCCTCAAAAGCAGTACACTGCGATTTACTGCTGAGCCATCTCTCCAGTCTCTTTGTTTTTAATGGGCTAAGAAAAAGAAGTGCTGGAGAGAGGACTCAAGCTTAGCACAATTGCTGCTCTTGCAGAGGATCCCAGCTCAGCCAGGTGGCTTACAACTGCCTGGAACCCAGTTCTAGATGTTTAGAGATTCTAAATCTATGCTTATGCACTGATTTTTGCACAGTACCCAATCTGTTATTTTTTTGGCCTACACAGACACAGACAGAGACACACACACACACACACACACACACACACACACACATAAAAATAAATCTTTTTAAAAAGGGATCAGCAAAATTACCCCAAGGCTGCTTGCTTGCTCTGCCGAGGATGTGGAGACTCTGGAAGCCTTGCTTGCTCATCCTTCATGTCTTTGCTCAAATGTCATCTCTAAAAGGTCTTCATGGAAGATTCCATTTGCAATGACAACTTCGAGACTTACTGTGAGCCCTCCTTTTCTGCTTTATTTTTCCAGCAGTGCTCAGCCACCAGCTGGCACTCTACCTCAATCTTGTTCATGTGTGTATTCATGCCTGCCCCAACAGGGATCAGCATTTGTGCTGGATAGCTTTAATGTCAACTTGACACACCTGGGTTGAGGGAGCCTCAACTGGGGGATTGCCTCTATTGGACTGGCCTGTGGCCATGTCTGAGGGGCATCTTCTTGATGAGTGATGTGGGAGGGCCCAGCCCACTGTGGGTGGTGCCACCCCTGGGCAGGTGGGCCTGTGTTGCATAAGAAAGCAGGCTAAGCAGGGGCCAGGGGAGCAAGCCAGTAAGCAGTGTTCCTCCATGGCCTGTACTCCAGCTCCTGCCTCCAGGTTTCTGCCCTCCCTGATGAACTGCGACCTTGGGCACCCTGATGAACTGTGACCTGGGAGATGTAAGCTGAATAAAGCCTTTCCTCCCCAAGTTGGTATTGGTCAGAATATTTTGTCACAGCAATGAAGAACAAACTAGGACAGCATTACAAAGGCAAGGACTTGTTGGCTTTGCTCCTGTTTGTGTTCCCAGTGCCTAGAAAAGTACCTGGCCAATAGCAGATATCCAATAAAGACTTGTCGAATATAAAGATTAAAAGAAATAACAACCCAAAGGAAAAAAAGAGTGATTTCCTTATGAATGACTGAATTGTGCAAAGAAACATTAGCTGCTCTAAAGGGCTGCACTAATTCTACTGAGTACTAAGGAAATACCCTAGGGTCCAAACATAAATGGAAAAATTTAAATTCAGGTTGCTAAACTGCCTCTATTTATATACCCTCCAGTTAAAGGTGGAGGGCACTTCAAAGATTGTTTTCAGACAGAAGCATTCATGGGCTCTCACAGTCATTCACTCAGAAAATCTCTTCAAAAAGGTCTTGTCAAGCATGGTGGCACACACCTTTAATACTCAGCACACAGGAGGCAGAGGCAGGTGGATGGCTGTAAGATCGAAACCAGCCTGGTCTACCCAGTGAGTGCTAGGCCAGCTGGGGCTACAAGGAGATGCTATCTTTCAAAAATAAAAGGTCTTCCTGGGCTTGGTGGCACATGCCTTCAATCCCAGTACTTGGAAGGTAGAGGCAGGTAGATCTCTATGAGTTCAAGGCCAGCCTGGTCTACAGGCCAGCTGGAGCTACAGGGAGACCCTGTCTCAAAAAAAAGACAATAAACAAACAAAACGAAAGGGCTTTAATCGTCTACACTGAAACACTGAAAACACCCC